GCTTGCTTTTCCCAGGTCAAGTGAGAAGGTTTAAGGAATTTCCCTTAATCCCAGAGTCAAATGCTTGTTCAATTACAAAGAAATGTCACTAGAAGTGGACAACTAGTGTGATTAAGAAGCAAGCTATATGAATTGAAAGCTTACGGGTGGCCCAAAACATATTCCACTAATAGCAGTTCCCACTCAATAAAGTGATGCTAGCTTGAGAAAGGGAGCATTGTGAATTTTACAAAAAAAAAAAAAAAAGCCAGGAAAGACCAACAACAGGATCCAGTTATCCTTATCAGCTTAAAAATAAACTGTCTTATTCTTTTTAAATGGATATTGAGATAAAGTAACTCTAATCTGATGCTCGGAAATTATTTATTAGTCACAGAGTGAAGATTACCAAGACAAATTAGTTTTCAAAGAAAAGTGTGAATAAAACTGAAAAAGTGGAAGCAACAGATGGAATTGTTTTACCTACACTGTAGCTTGTGTAAAGCCATTTGTAAGAACTCAGTCCATCACATACTTAGATACAATTCAGAACTTGTAAATATATTTTTTGGAAATAAAGTAATTGCACTTCGTCATAAAAAAGATTGTCACATTATTGTGATAACTTGCCATTTAAAAACTCCATCAATCTACCTTGAACACTGAAAATTTCTTTTTCATTGACTTATGTTAAACATGCTTGGTTGACTTTTCATTTTTACTAGTTACTAGTGATTTCTGTTTTCCAGGCCTAAATAGTTGTTGTGGATAATTCTCTGGAAGTAAAGCTAGTAGGACTTGTTCTAGGATTATCGCAGTGAGCCCCCAAATCCTGTGAGGTCCGTTAAGAAACAATGGTAACACGGCCTGGGAAGTGAACTTGGTATACCCACAATTGGTCGGATTACAGACATGCTCCAGAGAAAGTGTGAAGACAGATTCCACCTGCAAGGATGCGATAGGAATATGAAATCTCAAATCATGACACTAAAAGTAATTCAGAAACGTTGTTGCTGTTTTTGTAAGATTTTATGTGTCACAAAAAACTATCAGTAGCTAATAGCATAAAAACATCTCAAATGACTAAAACACATATTTTCCAAGGAGTAACTTTAAAAAAACTACCTGAAAAAGGCTATTTTGAAAGGAGAATTTTGATATTCATCTTGTGATTTAAGGGGATAAGTGAAGAGAAAGTCTGGTCCACTCGTAGAAAAAAAATTGAAAGTAAACTAGGTTAGACTTGCACGTGATCAGATCATCAGCATGAAAGAAAGTCCAGTAGCTCAGGGCTAGTTGATTTATGATGAATCAGTTCTATTACATTTCTGCATTATAAACTAATGATCAGGCTAGTAACATTTTTTTTTTTGGGGGGGGGGGGGNNNNGGGGGGGGGGGGATTAGCAAGACTTTTGCACTAGTACATCACTAAATATTACAGTTTGCCCAAAAAGCAAGCTCGAAAAATTGGTTTTCTCTGCACCCTGGACTCATGACACACAGTAAATGATCGTATAGATTGTTATGATCTTGAATGCAGAAACTTGAAATTCAAAATGTTTCCTTTTTCAATTGCATGGCATAGCACAGCACTTGATTACTGGTCCCCTAGGAGAACGAGAGTTTGGTTTCTCATTGGCTTTAGGGTCTCACTTGTGGTTTTCCGTGGGAAGAACTTATCATTTTGTGGTTATCAGTGCACATGCTCTCTCCTTTTGCCTAAATAATACCAGATATCTTGGTGCCCTGTCCTCTGCAATCTCTGGAGTATCAAAAGTGGTTTTGGACAGTTTTTCAGATCGCAAAATACTTTTAAAAGACTAATAATTTGGCAATTTATCCTAAACCATGCCCTTTAACTTCAAACATTTTTTGATAAAATTCTGGACATAACACAGCAATAACAGAATCGAGAACTATAGCTGTGAGGCCCCAGATTCTATAAGGACCATTCATAAACACAGGTCTTTTCATGATGCATACTCCAAGGTGTTTGTGCTTAGTGTATCTTTGATTCTCAGAGCTGCACAGATGATCCAATGAAAGAGTGAAGACTGATGCAACCTGGAGTGGATAAATTGAATAATCTTCTTTCAGTTTGAAGTATGATTGAAAGATTTTTCAGGTGTTAGTCAAAGATCAGCCTTGTAATTTCCATCTACCTTTCTGGCAGTTAATTTAACCCTTGAATGTCCAAGATTTATCAAAATTCTCCTTACAACATTTAGAATGGGGCGACTGAAATGATGAGACCTTACAGGGGTTTCATTAAGGGCCGGGCACTGGGCAAATTGACCAGCTGTGAGGATGATTTTGCCCACCTGGTTTGACCATGTAGACAAATGTTTTTCTATAATGAGGTTCAGTTTAAAAAGTTTTGTCTGCTGTGAAAATAAGTTGCCCTCAGGACTGCTGAAAATGTCAGTGAAACCCTTGACCTTTGCTGTGTGATGAAATCATTTGATGACACACAACACCTGCACCGTTTCAAAGGTGAACTGTATAGTTGGCCAAATGAAGCAATAGATTAAGAACACAAACAATGCTCCTAGGCCTATGAATGCAAGAGGTGCTGATTGACGAAAATGAATCAAACTAGAGATTTTAAATTAGTGCAGATCAACACAACAATTACCTACACAAAAGCATTTCATTGTATAAACCATATTAAGTCCCTGAAGCTGCGAAGATATTATAATAAGTGTTACTGAATTCTTACCTCTTCTGGATTCAGCTCAAGTGAATTCACATCAATTTCTCCAATAAAGCCGATGACAGGAGTGATTGCAACTTTACCAAGCTGTTGGAAATGGAAGGAAAAATGAATGATAAAATTGGTATTCAACTAAAAGGCAAGGAGCAGAGTTAAATTAAGTTGCATTCTGCAAGATAATTATATTTAAAGGATAAGTACATGCAAGGCTGTATATACTTGTCCTTTAAATCTAGTAATTACATGCAAGGTTGGGAGGGGCGTTGTAACGTTGTGGTTAGTGTGCTTGTCTCCAGATCAAGCAGTCTGGGTTCGAGCCCTGGCTGGGGACATTGCGTTGTGTTCTTGGGCAAGACACTTTACTCTCACAGTGCCTCTCTCCACCCAGGTGTATAAATGGGTACTGGCGATTTGCAATGAACTTAACACTGGGTGTAACCCTGCGATGGACTAGCATCCAATCCAGGGGTTAGTAGAAATACTCCTAGTCGCTTCATGCTACGAAGACTAGGATAAGCTCAGGCCTTATGGGCCATTTGGCTTGTATACAGACCTTACCTATCTTTACATGGAAGGTTATTTGGATTCCAAATGGAAACTAGCCATCACTAATATACTGAGATTAATTGATATTAATACTGTACATGTAATTAATTTTGACTGGGGATCTTCTTTGAAAAGCCTAGTAGGGCTCTCTAAGATCTCCTGCCTTTACTCAAACTGTCTTGAGCTGATCAGCTCTTAAGATTACTCCCTGAGATTGTTGGAATGTCAGTCACCTACAGCAGTTCTTTTCAGAACTACCCTCACCCAGACGAACACCCTATACAAACTACTGATACTTGTGGGTTCAAACCAATGAAAACAGAATTATAGTTATTACCCTATCTGGCATTGCTGGCATCTGTGCCCAGATGTGCACACGGCTTTTTTCCAGTCCCATCTCCTCTTCCATTTCTCTGACCGCTGTCTCTATGACACTCTTATCTTCCGGATCTTTTTTACCTCCTGGAAAACTGAAAAATGATGCTAAATAAGGCCTTGTTTCAAATTTGAAATTTAGCTACTCTGCTGTTGAGGTGTGCATTTGCCATTCCTTCCCAAGTGATTTTTCAAAATCCTCACCCTTTCAACAAAATATTAACACAATGTCAGCTGAAATTCACCCATCCACCCTTCCCACCCCAATAGTGCATAAAGACAAACAAATCTTACAAGAAAAGCCCAAAGTTAGAAGCAAAACTTGTCAAAATGCACACCCTAGGGAAACCAAATTTAGCATTGCTGTAGCAGTGAGAGTGCTTGCCTCCAACTGTGTGGCCTAGGTTTGATTCCGGCCCAGTGCCATATGTGGGTCAGGTTTGTTGCAGTTTCTTGTTTTGCTACAAGGGTGTTTCTGCGGGTTCTCCGGTTTTCCTCCCTCCACAAAACCAACATTTCCAAATTCAAATTTGACCAGGATAGATGACCCGCATGAAAACCAGCTTCCTCTCTAAACATTGTAATTTATTTTTTATTTATTACAATATTAATTTATAAATTAAGGGAATAAAGCACTGACCTGACCTCTCCTCTGTGTTTGTTCAGCTGATTAGAACGAAGAGTAAAAAGTACTGAGGGAGCAGAGTCAGCAATACAGAAAGGTACAAAAACAGCGGCTTCCTCAGAACAGCTTGCTAACAAAGATTTGCGAGTTTTCATCACTCCTACCTTCTTGACAAAGCGCACTTTGTTAGCCTCAGAAAAGGCATCGTTTAAATCTGAACAAGCTCTTTTCAAACTGGAAGTTCTCATTGTTCTTGAACAGTAAAGACGTGCTAAACCAGCCTTTCTGCTGCACTGTGGACAACATAACGGGGGAAAAGTTGCGGAACATCTCGAAAAATGTTCTGCACGTTGAAATGTACTGTGAAAAGTTCGGGAACAGATTAATTTAAGGCCCTGTGATTGATGGAAGATCCTCCTGGTTACTGTGAAGTTCATTTGAGGCTGAGGACGTCGATGCCTCTCCAACTCAGCAATAATTCAAGCTTACAAGTTTATGAGTTACAGTCTGTTGGGGAGAGTTATAAATTATCCTCTTCTTGCAAATTCCAATCCTGAAACCTTAAGAATACAGCCTTTTTTTAAACATACTTCTCCAAAACGAAGCAAAGATTCATCGGAGACCGAGAATTAGAATATACCAGAAAAAAGTGAAAAAAAGTTCTTAGCGTCGTTCTAAGCGCCATTTTGATTGTTTACGAGAATCGCGTCATATATGAACCACGAATATTCTTTTCATGATAACATCGCTGTGCAAGATTGAATCTTACACATACATACATACATACTTCGTTTCAAGATGGCGGTAGCTAAGTGCTCTGATACGATGTTCTTTAAAAATTTCTTCATATTCGTGGGTTGCTTTTGAAGTAAATTAAGAGATTTTAGTACAAATAGTAGAGCTCCAGCAAACTGTTTCAGACGTTTGCCTAGGTTTGTAGACAGCTGAAGCCTGCAAGCTGGCTCCAGGCCGCAGTCAATCAATAAAATTGATATAAAGAAAGCGGTCTATGCGATAATGGCCGATAATAATCCTCATTTGAAGACATGATTGATCATCGCAGTTATGCACACAACTTAAGCAGTTGTGAAATTACAAGCCTCAAAAAAATTCAGGCGTGAACGGGATTCGAACCCATGACGTTCAAGCCTGATTTTTTTTCAGGCTTTAATTTCACAACTGCTTTTAAAAGTTGTGTGCATAACTGCGATGATCAATCATGTCTTCATATCTTTCTCCGCAGTTCAAATATTTGATCTTTCATATATTCATTTGTATTCTCCACCATCTACGAGACCTTGCCGTATTGACCGAGTGATAACGAGTTTGAGGTTTTCCCGTAAAGACCTCACTCTCGGTAATAAGTAGTAATTTTAAAATCTCACACAAATAACCAGTAATCTTTAAATTTGGTTGCAAATAATCCATATCAAGAGAAAATGGTCTACTTGTCCATATTCCTTCTCTGAAACTCCTACTAATCCATAATCCTAAAACCTTCACAGGGCATCACAAATGCCAATGTTCAGGCAAGTTAAAAGAGAGAACCAGATACAACCCAGTCATTCCACCAAAATGAATTTATTACAATATGTTAGAGCATAAAAATAGTATAATGCAATTTCCAAGTACAGTGTATAAATTTCGAAACCTTTGAACATTCTACCTACCTACTTAACAAAACCATACTTATGAGCCGCATTGGGATTGTTTAAACCTAACAATTTATTATTTTATTAGAAATTTATGTAATGACTGATGTGGTACAAACAATTTTGTTGTTACCTACCGTTGATAATGCTAAACCTAAAAACATTTAATCCACTGTACGGAAAAAGATGTTGGCTGTATATTTTTCTACTGACAAAAGGCACGCCTCATTCGAATAACAGAGTCAAGTGTATGTATCCTTAAAAAATCGAATAGACACATTTTCACAAGATTGGTCATGAGTTGGAGGTCTTTTTGGTTTTTCCAGGTAGCTAGTACTCCAATTCATACTTTTAGTATTCTCACTGAACATTGCAATTTTTTTTAGCAAGAGTGAGTGCAATAAAGATTGATTGATTTAGATCTTTTCAGTGCATTTTCATGAGTGTTTTTAGATTTTCTTGCAGTTTAAGGAGCTACGCCACAGTTTGTGCATCTTTAAGAGCTAAAGGTTCGTAGTTTTTTAATCCGTGTCAATCTTATCCATCCCTGACCATCAATGTTTCTTTATGGTTTATTATTATCTCTTTGGTGTTTTTCTATCTTAGTAATCTACTAATTTGAGGTTTCCTTCAATTTAAAGGCAATTTTAGTGCGTGGCAAAATAATTCAAAATGCCGCGACTGAGCTCCTTTAAGAATCACGACACAAATGTACCAGTCGCCATCGTTTCTGGCACAGTGGTTTAGGGTGATGATTAATCCTAACTGAATGAATCTGGCTTAAATATACTACAATGTGAATTTCAAACAGTGCAAGTAACATTGACTACATACAAGCTTTATCTTTAAAGGATCTACATTTGCAGACTACGCAAATTTTGAAAAAAAATAGCGTTTTTCCCAATCCTCAATCTCCCTCATTCTTAGCGATCCACGTTCCCTTTTCGTTTTGTTGTTTACTTCCCTTTTGGTAATTGATCTGAAACTTTGAAGTTTCTTACCACCCAGAGCTAATTTTGTACATCATTAACATGACTTACTGATTTCTTGACATAGTTCCTTTCATAACGCAATATAGAGCTGTTTTATTTAGCAGTGATTTCACTTAACACCAGATATTTTTATTATCAAATCAAACTTATTCATTGTAATCGCTTCAATAAGTTCGAGCCGTTTTGAACAGTAAATCTCTGTTGAAGAGCAGAAATGCCAACAAATACATTTTATGTTTTCATGCTTGTATAAAATCAAGACCAGCTAGCCCATCTGAAGTAAAATATTATTAATATTATCTGAGAACAAGTAACACCCTACATATAAATTATTTATGCATTAACTTTGTCGCCATGAAAGTATGAATTGTTTTAAGATCTTACCAAATTATTTAACACTACAAACTAGTTCATTTTAATTTTGACACTGCACTACAATTATCTAAACCTCGTCCCCAGGATAAGATAAAAAGACCCTGGGAACGAGGTTGCAACTATCTACCGACTGAAGAGAGGTCACACCCCAACAATATCATATTACGGTCAGTTTCCAAACCCAAACGTAAAGTCGCAGGTAGGATATACCTGTATCGTGAAATTCTTAGTGTAATGTCAAACATGACTGCATTGGTTTTTATAATAAAATTTAAACTAGTTTAATGGTAGTCAATCGTGAACAGGAGACATTATACACACTCTTCTGAGGACATTAATAGAGGATTAATGTATTCAAATCCTTCAAACTCTGACTGATCAATGGTCTCAAGCATTTTCCTGCCATGGAGGGAAAAAACGTGAATTAGTGATGCAAGGGAGTTGTTACAACTAACAACTGCATTTGACAGTATTTGACGGGGTGTGTCGATAAAAAAAACAATGGTGACCCTTGATCTCATGTCAAATTCTCCTTTTTTAATAGAAGGAAGTGGAAAGCAATTAGCTAGGAGAATCTTCCAGTCTATCAGATGTCACTTACGATATTTTTCCATGCACCCCTTCATTAGACAGAGGGAAGGACGGACGACTGGAAGGAAGAGAGGGACAGCTAGAGGGAGGGATAGCTGGAAGGGTGTAGGATGGAGGGAAGGAAGGGACAGAGGGTGGCCAGAGCCTGACAGGAAGAAGAAATTAAAGAGCTGCTATAACTTACGGGTCATCAGGAGTAAGCTGAACAGGCTCGTTTGTAAACTGCGGATCAAAGTTTTCCAGTCCGTACTGGTCTTCAATCCTTGGCTTGAATGGGGGAGGAACTTGTCGTGCTTCCAACTGTTAACAGAAAAAAACAAAACAAAATGATGTTGTACATTGAAAAACGGTTCAAACATAACGCCTAAATTTCTCTCTGTGACACAGAGCAGGACTTGCCAAGTCGAAGGTTTTAATATTGAGTTAAGTCAACAGTCAAGTTGAGCCGAATCAAAGAGTCCAGAAAACATGCCAATTCGAGTTTCCGAGGTTAAAGTTCACAAATATGCAAAACTGTGTATTGTTTTGAAATTAGACTAAGATAATTACCACCAGGAACTTAAACCTTAAAATACGAGGTTTGAATCCTCTCAACATGCGGGGAAAAAAGAAAAAACTAAACAAAAACAAACAACAACAACAACAACAACAACAACAAAAAACGCTTTTGACAGAACCTGTTTGAAAATCTTTTGCATACCTGTTCCCAGTCAACTGTCCGGAAAAATACATGTGATGTTATATCTGCAAACCCTGTCTGAGGATGACAACCTAGACGCTCAATGGGATTCTAACGACCAAGAAAGAAAAGAAGACAGAAAAGGTTTTATTAAATGTAAATCACAATGCAGATTGTACATTTAGTTTGATAGCATAACCTGATGTCCAAATATCCTGTTAAAAGTAGCTCATCTTCCTTTTCTCCGTCGTTTGATATTAATTTAGCTTGGAACACCAGTTTTTTTCATACCAGTTAGGCCACATTCCAACACGTACTGGTGTATCTGGCCAAATTTAGCATTTTCCATACACAGTTTTGTTAGCTCTTCATTTAATTTGCAGGGTAAATGAGAATAAATTATTTATTCATGTTTCACTCGAGGAAGAGAGAGGTTAGCTGGGACTAGTTCCTCTAACATGCTCAGTATGTTTAAAAATAAAGTACTGGTAGTCAGGAGCTAACATTGTAAGATAGTGGTTTGACACCGACTATTTTTTTTTCCTGATGTTTTGTTCCAGACGTTTCGGCTGGTGCTTGAGCCTTCATCAGTTGAAAAACTAACGTTAGTACGCGTGATTCAAAAAACAGCACGTCGAAAGCGCGCTGAGGAAAATTCCGCGTGAAGTTTCAAGAAAACGTAGCGCGAGACTTGAGCGCGTGCCAAAGACTTGTAGATTTCTGGGATGGCGATGTGGTCATTTCCAGATTGCGCATTCTTTATTGACATCCAAGCTTCCAAGAAGAGTCGCTCGTGAAAGTTAGCCTCGTGTCCAACAACTCTGACACTTCCAAAATCCATTTTGTGGTTGTTTTCGTGGACATGGCAGGAGATCTTGGAGTCATGATCGAACACAGAAACAGCCCTTTTGTGTTCTGTAATCCGAGTTTTCAGTGATCGTTCAGTTTGACCGTAGTATACAAAACTGCAGTTGGTGCAACTGATTTTGTACACTGTGCCAGATTGTGACCGGTCAACCTTTTCCTCAGCTCGTTTTCGATGAGCTGTTTTTTGAATCACGCATACTAACGTTAGTTTTTCAACTAATGAAGGCTCAAGCACCAGCCAAAACGTCTTGAACAAAACATCAAAAAAACAACAAAAATAGTCAGTGTCAAACCACTATCTCACAACATGCTCAGTAGTTGTTACTTGTTCACTGGCCATGTGCTTTGTTGCACACTACTTAACTTATGAGAGCTGACCGTACCATTAACACAACATGCCTTGCTACTGTTGCCTCATTTTTCTGCTGGCAGATAAACATGCTTTACCTTGTTAAGGAAACCTTTGAGAATTGATGCTGCCTTTACTGACAGTGACCTAGGAATTCTTATCGGCTTTTCTAGAATAACTGGACAAAAGAAAATACAGCTGCCATTAGGCTGATTAAATTTACTAAAAGTTTCACATCAAGGGGAAGGCCATTATAAATTAATATTACGTCATTCACTCGGCACATCAGGCTCTTGTGAACAATTCAATTTGTATTGGAATTTAATTCCCAGGCTACACTTAGTTCCCTCGTGTTCTTGCACCAAGCTCATTTAGCCAGAGTACCTGAATCCCACCTTGATCAGTGATGAATGCCACTAGAGTGGTGTACAATGAAATCACAGAAAACACCTTGGGGAATACTTTAGGCCTAGACCAGGACACAAACTTGACCCTTGTGACAAACCCAATATTAAACTTCTTCAAATTCAGCCTCAGGAAATTTTTAATTTCATTTTAATTCAACGGGAGGAACCTAGGCACAATGGATATTTAAATTGAGACATGCTTGAAAAAGTTTTGAAAGATAAACTGTAACACAGCTGCTTCAACAGAATGAGGCAATACAAACCTTGAAAGAGATAATCCTCTGTATTTTGATCTGGATTTTCTGCACCCCCGACAACATCAAAGGGTGACCTTCCAGCTAACATTTCAAACATCAACACCCCGAGTGCCCACCAGTCTACGCTGTAACCTGCAAGAAGTAAAAAGATTGAAATACACTGTTTTTAGTATGGTATTAATTAATTTTCCTCACAGATTGCTGTGCAATTGGTCATGTTCTCAACAAGTAGGGGAGTCGGTTCAAGGTATAAAAAAATCAATGTTGTTTGTTGGGATCGAAAAATAAAGCCAACCATACCATAATCTTCCCCTCTAAGAATTTCAGGAGCAATGTAGTTTGGTGTTCCACAAAATGTGCTTGTTGTGTCGCCAGGACGGAGACCTTCCTGTAATTACAGAATTTCAAGGCATCTTGTAAGATTATAACTTTATTTGCAATGTTTATTTAGGCACAAATTAAAATAATTTAAATTTACACGTCATGCATTCTTCTGTAGACTGAGGTCACTTACTTTACACATTCCATAATCTGTTAGTTTCACATGACCATCAGAATCAAGTAGCACATTGTCGAGCTTAAGATCCCGATATATAACACCTAATAAAAGAGATTTATTATGAACTTTTAATCAATGAACAAGTCAAGTAATCATTGCTATTATCAGATGTCAAGCCTTATTAAAATTACAAGTATGTACAGAACTTACCTCTTTCATGTAAAAAGTTGAGGGCACAGGATATTTCAGCAGAATAAAACCTGATGATATAATTTTTGAAAAACACTTGTCATGAAGAATTCAAGCGCACTAAATACTAGTAAGATGTACACAAGTAATAAAATACATCCATGTGTATTTGCGATAGCCACAGAAATTACACATATAACTATTAACTGTGTTTCTGCCTGTTCCTGTCTGTCTGTCTGTCTGCCTGCCTGCCTGCCTGCCTACCTTTCTACCTGCCTGTCTGTCTGTTCTTGTCTGTTTGTCTATCTGTTGGTTGGTTGGTGGGTGGGTGGGTGTGTCTATCCATTATTACCTTGCATGGTCTTCAGGTAATCTTCGCTGTCTTTGCATGTGATACATGAGATCACCACCACTCACAAACTCAATCACAAAAAACAACCTGGGGAATACATACAAATTATGATTAATGAAATGTCGAAATGGTTTAAAAGCTCCTCGAAACTTGTCAAAACTCCAGAAGAGACACATCTAATTTTACATTTTTCATTTTTTGTTTTACCTGCTAGCTGTTTGGAAGCATGAATGAAGTCCAACCAGAAAAGGGTGATTTGAAGCTTGTTCAAAAACATGTTTCTCTGTTTGAACCCAGTCAATATCCTGAGGAAAAGACAACACATCAGTTAAAACACAGCACTTGAAAAATTACAAAGCAAATAATAAATCAATAATAAATAAACAAATAAAGAAATAAGCAAAATGTTCTTGATTGGAAACTTAATGCGCTGTGCAGCAATTCTACACTATTATTACTGAACAATCTAAACAAACCTCGTCATCATTAACAAGCTCTTTCTTCACAACTTTCATGGCATAAATTCTTTTATTTTTCTTTAGTTCCACCTGAAATCAACACAACAGTTAACGGCTATTATTAACCAAGCTTAAAAAGCTTATCAAGTGTCAGTTCTGCCATGTGAGAACCAGGGGATGGGTTGGGCTGGGGTGGGGTTCAAAGTGAAGGGTTCACCACCGATGAAATTCTCAGAAATAAGATGATAGAAATGTATGGTAATAAGTAAAGAGAATATAAGCTTGGGGAATGGGTGTCACTCACCAACAGTACTTTAGCATAGCTGCCTCTTCCTATGACTCTTAGAAGAGTGAAGTCGTTCATGGATATTAAGAAACTGCTTCCAGACGATGCCTCCTTTGCCTTGGATCCTTGAGAATAGTCTACACTGACAAGACCACGCTTACGAGTTGCTGGGCTGTCACTTCTTGCTAGTAATCAACAAATACAAAGTAAGAATGAAAACTTAAACAAACCTATTGCAAACCTTTTGCTATTGCAGGAAATATTGCAATTGTAACAGTTCTCTGTTTACTGGAATGTTGTTCACTGGCTGAGAAGATTTCAAAAAAAAAAATAAAAAAATAAAAATAAAAAAAACGGGAGGACAACAGACATTGTACATGTAATGCCAGTAAGTGTCAAGAATATTTAGCAAATGGCAAGAGTAAAATGGACGTAAAAATATTTTTTTAAGTAAGTCAAACTTCTGCTGATGATGTATGTGGGCCAAAATGGCCAAATTTCAAACTTCCATATTGTTGCATTGCCTGCTTGGCATGGCAGCCATCATGACATGTTAAAAAGCAGATGTATAGTCATTCCAAATGCTTTCTTCAAATAGATTTAAGTCATGGTGAATGTTGGATGCCATGCACTTACTTCGTTTGGGTCCTGGTGCTTCCTCTGCTGGGGGTATTTTGGTACCAATGGCCCCAATTGGAGGCAGAGAAGAATGAATTGTTTGTCCAGGTGGATGCTAAAAATGAAGAGAAAATTGATGATCAACCGTAAGGAAACAGGGCAACAAGTAGTTATATATCATGTACAGGAAATAGCTCACACTATAGCTGCAGCTTTCATTTTATGAAGGCCAGCCCACCACCAAACTCAAAGCTAGCCTTGCTGTTTCCCATAATCGAGGGAGTGTAGATGTTCTTTNCAAAATAAACTGAAAGATCTACCGTTTTCAACTGTTAGTAAATTACACAGCATCTTCAAGCATAATAATGTTGCACAAAGTGATGAAAAAGAAACTAGGATATGTTTTGCAACTGCACAAAATTATTTTCTAATTTGCTTAACTATACGCTATCAATTGATTATAACTTACAGTACAAGAAACTAACTCAGACCAAATTATAATAAATTAGTACTCCAATGTTCATGAATTTATAAATATACTAAATAAATTATAAATTTATTCATACAATGTATATATATTTCCAACTGGCCATTCATGAATTTGCATATCGCATTTTTGCTTCATTTTGCAATCTAAGGTTTGGCAACCATTTCATATAACATTGCTTTGAACAGTCAATGCAGCAATAACTGGTACCTCAGTGTTCACACCTCACTGAATTTTTTACCTGCCATCCACTCAACATTTAAAAGTACAGTCATCATAACATGAACTGCTACAATGCACATTGTGGGTTGAATTTATTTTTCATTCAATCATGGTTTCAAACCTGTTTGATTTTCATTTTCCTTTGTTTTGTGATACAAATTAGACAAAGTAAGGAAAAATGTGATTTATTTTGAGACCTTTACACCAAACTTTTTCCTCAGTCTGCTCTAAAATTTTCAAACCTGTAATACAGGTTTTGCACGGCAGCCATGTTGCATGGCAGGAACAATGAAAATGTTTTGCATTAGAAGCAGCATTTCTTCTTGTAGGAAAAAGAGTCTCTTGTTCCTGCCATGCAACATGCAAAACCTCAATACAAACCAAGGATTCCACATTTTAGAGGTAGAGATCACCTGAATTCCAGTTTCTCTGGGACCAAGAGTTTTCCTGAACCAGGAAAAAACTATTAATCCCTAGCCAAGAGATGGAAATTCCAGTGAAGGTTGATACTTTCCTTTATTTGACCTCAAGGGCCCCCTTACCCCTTGGAATTTCCAGTGATCTCCATGAAATGGTTACATGTACATAATTTCTTTACAACCACATAATATAAACTAAGGTGGCTATGCCATGGGGGCCTCTACACCATACACGAGAAACTGAGCTGTGCTTGTAACCATACATTATTACAGTAACTGAACTCTACTTTATTTGTACAGACCTGTCTTTTAAATGTTTGAGGACATACACATGTACATGGAGTGATTGACACTATTTAGGCTGGTTTTCTCTAGCAACGGCGTGGGAGGCCCCATTTGACCAAGTAAAAATCAAAAATTGGAATCATAACTCAGAGGAATCAAAGTCAAAGAATCAGAACATTTCCATTTCTTCTGATTCCATTTTTGACTTCATCTTTTATGATCCATTGAAAACTAGATTGTTGGAGTTGGAAGCAGAAGCAAAAGAACCAACCAATCACAAGGTCTGGAATTGAGCATTGTGATTGGTTTATTCTTCCACTTCTGCTTCCAACTCTGACAATGTACATGTAGTTTTTACTGGATCATAAGCGACTGACTCATAAGCAGAATTCATACTCTGCTTCTGACTCTGTTTGTTTGATTTTCACTAGGTGGTACATGTGTCCCTCTGCACCTTTGATTAAGACCCTGACTATGACTTCGTCACAACTAAAAACCAGCCTTTAATCTCAACTCATGGAAGAGTGGAAGAAGTTATCTTTTTATTGTCATATGTCATATGTCACTTACTTGTTTCCCCATCACAGAGTCGGCCTGGTTCATCTGGAATTCCTTTAAACACTGCAGAAAAATAACAGACAGTGTTCTTTCACTTGAACAAATATCTCTGACCAAAATTCTGCTTTTCTAACTCAAATGAAAGCATCACAGCTGTACTGAGGTTGTCAAATACATATTTCAACACACAATCAAATCAAAATTAACCAAGATCAGAATTTATCACTTACAATGAATGACAAGCTCAGAGTCCCTATTTAGCTCATATAATCTTATTGCTTCATCAAGTTCTTCTTGACATGAAATGGTGCATGGGTCACCTGAAGTTAGCAAAAATACATTTACAAATGGATTTCAATAATCTGGAAAATATCAGTCTGGGAGGTTAGGGGCGGGGGAGAGGGAGATGCGGGGAGATGGGGCACCTGTTATACAATGTAATGTTGCAGTTTCACTATAGCATTACATGTATAACACTTTGGTTTAGCCAAAGGTGAGAGTGTGGGGGAAGGGAGGGTAGGGTCGGAAGTACTAGAGTAAAGGGTGCAGGAAAACTTCTGCTCATCTACAGACCTCAAAAATCCCTCCAACAATTCTATTGTTTGACTAACACCTTGTTTCACTAATATTAAATTATAAGGATTTTCACTGAATGTGTTATCATGTATACATACTGATTTGATTGAAAATGCTCACCATTTCAGGAGCGTACTTTGGCATGCATTTTTCGTGGAGTATTAAAACACTGTCTGAAAAGACAGTCAATCGAGTGCCGAACTACCGGAAGGTGCAGGCCATTATGGGGATTTGGGAGGCAAACCCCCCCTCCTCCCCCAAGAGAATGTTTATTTTAAGAGGCTCCTGCCCATGTTTGCAAGGAACAGTTTCATGAATCAAAACATAGAAAAGTATAATGTACAGTATGTTATACAACTGTATGTTAGTTTACAAGGTGTTCAAAAGGAAAGGGTGTCCACCTTCAGACTGGAAAATTCGAGCAACGTAATTAGGACAGTATATGGTCACTGCACCTGAGCTGCATATTTTTCATCTAACATGTATACATTTAACAACACTGTCCAGAGTGTCCAGAGTGTAGACTTCTGAAAACTGAGGCCCCGTCCACACGTATCCAGATATTTTTGAATCCGCAACGTTTTCTTTCTGGATATGGCTTCCATCCACACGCGTCCGGCGAATTCGGCAGCGAATCCAGATGTTTTTGAATCCGCTCTCCAGAGTGGAAACAAAATAAATGTGCAACGAATTCAATAATGTGTGGACGGTGAATCTGGATATTTTCGAATCTGATAACGTAGCAAAATCGTGTCCAGTCTCTTACCGAACAATAAACCAATATGGCAGCACAATGTGTAGGCCTAGTTTCTCTAGAGTGAATCTGGATACCATCAGATGCATGTGGACAGGCGAATTTGATCTGAATACGCAATGTGTGGACGGGGAAATTTTTTAATCTGGAAAGGAAAAGGTGCGGATTCAAAAATATCGGGATACATGTGGACGGGGCCTGAGTCCCTTCATATCAGTGTGGGTGATAAGCAAAAATGTGTCAATGAAAATACCGAAATCAAAATGCATTAGATGTGTAGACATGATACAAGAGCCAATCTTCACACAGATGCAGCTGTTTGAATATGCAATTATATTTAAGAACTTTTGCCTTATTAATTTGTGATAAGAAAAATTGTGGTGCAGACAAATATACCACACAATGCATATTCAACAAGTCCTGATGTCAACATACAAAATCTCATTACAGTTCTCAATACATCTATCACTGTAATTGTTGTGAGAATTTGTCATGATCAATTAAATAAATCAAGACATTCTAAAAACTCTACATGTATGTTTGTCTTACATGTATTTCGATTTGAATTAACAGTGCTAATTACAAAATGTTGGTTGAGCTGGTTGAGAGAAAATATAACTAATGTAACGTCATTTTAGAGGTACCTTATCAATCATTTTCAAATTTGCAAAGCTGCTTTAATTAAGAATGTTTTCCTTACATCACATTACACTTAAATTGCGCGCAAAAAATCTCAATCACTGAATTCCATTGAGAAATATCGTTTCTCCGTATTTTTAGGCTCATGAATAGACGTTAAGCTTATTCAGAGCTCTAACATCGAGGAATCGGAAATGATTGCATGTAGAAGGAAAGTGTTTATTTACAAAGATACATGAGTTTAGCTTATTATTAAGCTTCGAAAACCTCAGCTTGATTCCACGTAAATGTTTTTATAAAATGATTAGAAGCCGTGCAGGGCAAATTTAAAGTGATGCGATCGGTAGCGTATCAATAAATCCTGATTTAGAAACGGGAAAGTAATTATAATTTCGAGAGACACTTCGATGGTTACTAACCTTCTTCATCTAGCCATTTCATGGTGAAGTCGTCGTCTCCTCCAAACTTGAAGATATCTCGCATGTCATCGCAAAATTTTTCCAGGGTTATTCTAGTCTCCATTGACAAAACCATAATAGTGCTGAAATAATGGAAAACATCAATTAAGCTTGACGACAAGTGAAACGAAACTGTATGAATTTCGGCGTCGGCATAATAGACGAAAATACACCGCACAAGCGTGCTAACCCACCCGTTATAAGCCGCTTTTACGGCCACCATCTCTATTGAATTCATGGCTGGCATAGATCACAGCGGTGAAAATAATCAAGGATCGTGCATAAACTCCTCAGCGGAAACCGTTTTGCGGTAAATTCTGAGCAAATTAGGCTTTCTGTGACTACAAAAAATACGTTTCCTGCAACACATCTCTTTGGAATTTACACCCGATCACGTGACATTCCTTTCCGCGGTCGAGCAACTAGAGGTTACACACCACGGATTCTAACACAACGTCGTAAGTGAAGCATTGGTAAAGGTAGAAAGCGCCTGCAGAGCAAAATTTCTTACCCCTCAAAAATTGCGAGTAGGTTGACGGAAAACCGTCGTACTGCTGGATACATAAAGCTCAGTTCGTGATTTTCTACGATCGGGATGTGCTCTTCTTCCCCGCACCCCTCCTCCAGGGATTCCACTTGTTCACCGCCACACCCTTCATCGACAGGTTGCATCTCACGGTAGCCAGTCAGGATACACGGATCAGCCCCTGGTTGATATTAATTAATTAATTAATTAATTAATTAATTAATTAATTAATTAATTAATACGATGAGACATTTTAGACCTAACTGTCTTAATTTTTCGTTCAATTAAGAGAGAAAGTATGTTAAATATAAAGTCAAGTATATATTTACAAGTAAGTGACTCCAAGATGGGGAACGGAATTGCTGATTTCGATATTTTGATGATCAAAAAGTCGGCATTTTCTCTTTGTTTGGGGGATAGGGGTTCTGGCTTTTAGGGGGCTCGATTAAAAAAAGCTGTCACAAACAGAATACATAAAATTAAAGGCGAATTTCTGGTGATCGTGTACTTTTATTTTACAATAAGCAGATTCTTAAAAGAAACTCCTTTAAAACTAGATAGAAAGCTGTATTATCAACCCTATCTAATTTATTTTGAAGAGTTTTTTACCTTCAAAATTTTCAGCAGTGATATCATCGGCACTGCTTGCAGACTCTTCCCACGTGTTGCATACTGGGTAAACATTCTTACCCGCTGAAGTCACACCGACATGTAAACAGTTCAGGCTGAGTTCAGTCATGGTCGAATTCCTGACATGAAAAAAGTACACCTGAGACAAAACCACTGTTTTTAGGCCGAAAGAAACGTCGAAGGGTGTTCGAAAGAGTAGTATCCTCTCAAAAACATTGCATGTTCTCATCACGCGAGAATTCACTTTCTGGGATAATTTTCGCGCCAATTTTGGTGAATGGTTGATAGCAATAAAGAAAACATCGTTTTGATTTGGGGATTTTACAGGATAAACTGAGCAATTTTCCGCTTCCGGGATGGAAAAAGTTTCAAATTTCGTTAGAGCTTTTTCGTTAATTCCATGCAAACAAGTTCGTAAATACAGATGAATCGAAGTTCTTACACAACATCGAAGCACGCGGTATTTTAAACTGATGTTTTCGTCGCTTAAAATGACATTTTTCAGTTTCACACAAGACTGAGTGTAAAAATGTTTGTTTGCTTGAAATTGAAAGACACTTGAGGAAGCATTGCGAAGTAAACGAATTAATTTTACAAGTGGGATCTTGAAACGGTCCGAGCCTAGGAATTGTTCTGCAAGTCGCCGACACAATACTCCCATAAGGTTACGTTCGAAGAAATATTTGTTGAATACAGCAGGTGAAGTTCTGAATAATTCTCAGTAAATAGCATCTCTAGCAGTTCTTATAGCCTTTCTCAATATTGAGACAACATACCTGTGAAATATCTGAAACCAGAGTTTTAACTCAAGTGACCATCGAAAATTCATTGACTGCTCCCATTTCAAAGTTTCCGGTAGTGTTTTAAAAAGCGTTTTAAATTTTGAATGATTTTAAAACGTGTTGTGAATAATAGACCAAAATAATGAATTACATCACCTCTTTAAAAAGAGAATTTGACTTTCAAATGAGTAGTGCCTCATTAGTGATTATGTGGTCATGTCTGGCTTACAGATGACAAGTTTTCATTTTTGTATAAATAATAAATTGAATATATTTTGATTTGAATAGAGAGAAATCGATCGAGATGACCCATTTATGTAGATGCGAGTGACTTCTTTTTTAAAACTAGTTAAAGAGCTAAACGCATCACTTTGGAGAACAAAACTATTGTAAATAAAAATAGCGAAAATGGCTTGCCCTCGTGGCCGTCCTTCGCGTCAGGGTGTGGGGGTTACATGCATGCAGGTTGCTACGTGACAAGAAGAAATTAAACAAGACATAGGGCTTTAAAATCTGGGTGATATTTCAATTTCTCAGACACTTTCAAACGTTTGCAGATATGTATGTACATATTTTTTTGCAACTCATTTCCCAGCCGGCTACCAGAAAGTTTTGCTTCGCACGCTTGGGAAGCCTTGAACTCTTGTTGGTATAAGCCATATTTGGTAAGTGACGTACGATTGGTTATTTTGCTGGTGTGGTAGGAGCGGCGGCCATCTTGTGGAGAGAGCGGTGTTTCCGGCTGGTTCTAGGGGTTTATTTGCCGCTTCGAAAGTTGTTACCTCTTTTATATATAATAAGTGTTTAAGGCTTTTGATACACTTAACATTTACAATGGTAAGTCGTATTTTAAATGCGCTTCTTGTTGGAAGAAAAGAGCAGTTCTGTTGCAGTCGAAACTGTCTTCTGTGTTCGTTCTGTTGTAAAAATCTGGAAAGATCCCCGCCTCATCTCGTATCCGTTATTTGGGATAGCAAGCTTGGGAAATCATTCATTCTTCTGGACAATTAAGCAAACGAATCAGGAGTTTCTGTTGTAAGACTGCTTTCAGGAGGAAAATACTTCACTTGATGCATTACTATAAAGTTCTTATCATTGACTGATCGAAACATGTCGTCCAAACGTATATACAACCATTTTTCCTGTTTTTGGTTGCTACAGACGGAAAGACAACTAGACTGTGCGTTAGATTTAATGCGACGGCTGCCTCCTCAACAAATAGAGAAGAACCTTAGTGATCTAATTGATTTGGTAAGTTCGATGTTGTTGGGACATTATTTTGTGGAGGAAATAGTAGTTTGTTTGTTCAGGCGTACTTAGTTATGGAATTTATCAAAGACTAATATATTTATAAGTCATGATACAACGCTGTCGTATTGATTGCAAGGTACAAATCATTTTGTGACTAGTTTTCCATTCCGTAAAAAATAAATTTGTTGCATTGGCAAGGCACATAGATAGGAAATTTTCTGGCACAGCTGAGAACCTGGCTTTATGCCATACTTTTCGAGTGTATTTGAATGCCCTCTGTCTTATCTTTCCCATTTACATGCACAATAGTTTTTGGTGTTCAGTGACCTTTGACTTCTCAAATTACTTTTAGCCTTCCTTCCTTCCTGTCTTCCTGTTCCCTATACTCTACTTTTCACTGTAGATTAACACCCCCTTGGGTGACCGAGTTCACACTGGTCCTGATTGTTTACAGAGTAGCAATGATAAGAATACAAGTCAATTTAATGTTAAATACAAATCCAGCAGTGTCACTGTTTCTATCACCCCTAAACAAGTTCCTATTGTGAAAACTCATGATCTCAAGACCCAATATGTGTTGGCGATGATGGTATAGTGCACTTTCTTGTGAGATTTGAAGAGCTTCATGTACAGCTAAACACTCGGTTGGAGACATCTTGTCATTACAGACACATTTGCTTTACAGACACCTTCTCATGACAGACATGTTGCCATTGCAGACACCTTTTCATTACGGACACCTTGTCATTATGGACACTTTGTTATTACGGACACCCTCTTATTAGGGACACCCTGTCATTAGGGACAGTGGCTTTTCTCTTAATTAGTCCACTCAATAATGGCACCTTGTTTATACAGATACTTTCTGTTGTCTTTATAATGTCTGTTAAAGCATTGCTAGAATTTGAATGTTGTTCAGACCATCCCACATGTAACACTTACTGCAATTTATGTTGGAAAGACATCAGACTATATTAGAGCCTGGAGATCACCTTTATGCAGCTCCTATATTCTATTTGTTATGGTAATGATATTTTCCTCACTGCATAAACATTTATGGTAACTGTGTTCTGTGATGTTTTCAGGTTCCTAGTCTTTGTGAAGACTTGTTATCATCTGTTGATCAACCACTTAAGATTGCTAGGGATAAAACCACAGGCAAAGATTATCTTCTTTGTGATTACAATAGGGATGGCGATTCCTACAGGTATTAACACGCTAATATATGGCCTAGGAATCTATGCATAGTGCAGTGAGCTTCTATATTAGTAGAGCCATTGTCTTTCAACTCAAATGAAATGTTATTAACTACTAAAAGTGACAACTCCTCTGAAAGTAGCAAGCTCAAAGAGGTTCTTGGTTACAACTTGGGCAACATGCTAACGACATTCGTTTTGGTAAACATCATTTTTTTTCTCATCTACATTGTTGTCTTTTTTCTTTTATATATTGAGGACATTTTTAGACTGATCAGCCTGCCGTTCACTTGTAGCTACACAAAAGCAGTGATCCCCAGAAAGTTGTGAAAAGTTGCATTTACTAAAAGTAATTGAAGGGGTGCTGCTTTTGGAACTTTACAGTATGTACTAGGAAAGAAAAAACCCAGGTCCGATTGCCCAGGGCAAGTAAATTTTGCCCTTGAGCAAGTGAAAATGGAAGCTTGGTGGTCCAGTTGGCAAGTGAAATTAGCCTCAGTAGTCTTGTTAGTTGATAAGGAATGAACATTGCACACTTATTGGGCAAGTAATATTTTAGCGTGGGCAACTGAAAATTGAATTGTACTGGCCCACTGGACAACTGGATTTCAAAATGTTTTTCCTGTCCTGATGTAATCTGTTATTTATGCATTTTAGTGGAAATCAAAATCCTACAGGTCATCTTAACTCCCTTCCACAGTTTGAGGATGCTTATTTCTTCTGTGAAATCTAATAGCAATGTTTTCCCATTCTCATGTCCATTTAGATCACCATGGAGTAATTCTTATGACCCTCCTTTGGATGATGGTGCAGTGCCCTCTGATAGGTTAAGGAAACTTGAGATGGAGGCTAACTCCGCCTTTGATCAGTACAGAGAAATGTAAGTCCTTTAAGTAGCTCAATAGGGTGAATTGAAATTTGCTAAGTTCAAATGGAAATTTCCATAAATTGTGTTACTAACAAATGTGATATGTGTCTGTTTAAAGGTATTATGAGGGTGGAGTGTCATCAGTTTACCTCTGGGATTTAGATCATGGATTTGCTGGTGTTATTTTGATCAAGAAAGGTTTGAAGTGCATTTTAACTTGGACTGTATTTTGGTCTCGTAGGAAATTATACTAGGGTTTGCACTGTACTTTTGGTGAGCCCATATGATGATTCAAAATAAAATGGACATTATTTTGAGTAAGTAAAATGCGTCTTCCTATTCCATAATTTCAGCTGGGGATGGTTCTACAAAGATCAGAGGTTGCTGGGATTCCATTCATGTTGTGGAGGTTCAGGTAATAATAATAACAATAATCATGATGATGACTTTATTGGATTACACAGGTGTTTTGGCTTTTAGTTTAGATGAACAGGGATTACTTCATTTCAAAGGCGTCATGTGGGTATATCGTAAAACTGGATTGTATTATACTGTTTCAGGAGAAGAGCAGTGGCCGACAAGCTCATTATAAGCTCACATCAACTGCCATGCTTTGGCTTCAGGTATAACAGAACTAACTCTTAGTAGAAGTTTGTTTGTCCCAGGAATTGCCATTAATTTTATACCTGGTACTTTGGAGGTGCATTTTCAGTCCTTACCCATCAAAGCTGCATGTACATTGTCTCTTTTCATCAGTACCCAGGCATTGATTTCTAATGTAAAGACAGAAAAAAAAGTGTTCACCTTATTAGAATGCCTAAATTTTTGCTTCATTTGTGTTTATAGACAAACAGGGCTGGATCAGGTATAATGAATTTAGGAGGAAGCTTGACAAGACAGGTATGTGATATGTTTAAGCAATGTGCAAAATTAATAACCTTTTCAAGATATCATTTTTATCAAATAAGATGGAAATTGGTTTTGTTACATTGTAATAGCAGCCTGTGCCTTGAAGATGCAAAATTTCTCACTTGCTGCACACTTCCAAGGTGGTATTAACAATGGACACAACATTGTTGAAGGAAAAGAGAGGAAGAGACCAAATATTTGAGAGACTAATCAACCAATAGGGTTGTCATTTGCACTTGGTGTAAAAAAATATTTACTACATGCACATGGTTTAATGATGCAATTCTACTGTCCCTTAGGCTTGTTACGAGTATATTCCAGAAAAAAAATCAATTAGCTGCGCTAGCTTTCTGAAATAAAAGATAGTTAAATGTGACGTGGAGTATTTGGGGTTTCAGGTTGAGCAGGACAGTTCAGTGAATGATGCTAGTCCACATATTGCCAACATTGGTAGAATGGTGGAGGTAAGTACTGTTGCATTGATAACTTTGTCTTGTTACTGCTTAATTTTCTATCAAATTGTTATTTACACACATTTTTTCTTGGTGTTTGCCTTTTCTGAAGGACATGGAAAACAAGATGAGGAATACTCTGAATGATATATACTTTGGCAAAACAAAGGATATAGTTAATGCCTTGCGGTAAGTAGTACATATTTTCTTTAGCAATCTGCGATCAAGGGATCTCTATCACAGCAATTTTGTGGCATTTTGGTTGAAGCAGTGCCCAAAGTAGGGTTATGGACCATCCCTCTGGCGTATACAGGAAATATTGACACCTCTCTTGGACAAAATTAATGGCAAATTGGCCATCACAATCCTTAAGTAGCCATCCAAAATGATTATACGGCCAGCTCAAGCCAAGGCTTTATGAAATTTGTGGAAAAAAATTCTGGAAGCCTGGATACCCATCTGGCTAAAAGCTTGGTCCCAGGGTTGCCCGGCTTCCTGCTGGAGGAAAATACTACCACAGAAATTATGATTAAAGAACCAAGGGAGTAATCTCCTGATTTGATGGAACTGTAACAAAACAATTAGCTCAAGATTAAATATTTTTTTTTACCTTGTAGGAGTGTGAATAGCCTTGCTGACCAAGGAAAACAGAAACAATTGCAACAAGAACTCTTTGGTGTTCTCAAGAACCGCCAAAAGTAGTTTTATACACTTAGCAACTTTCTCTTTGATAAATCACTGCAATGATCTTCAATTTGTGATGTGAAAATTAATTAGTTACAGGGGATTTCTAAAATCCTCAGAACTTTTGTATAATTTTCTGGTATCACTATCAATATTTTTCACAAATTGAAAAAAGAGCCCGGTGAAAATTACCCTTCAAGTACCATTTCCCCTAGTGTATTTTGTGAAAGCCATGATCTTGCAGATTATCANGTTAGAGCTTTTTCGTTAATTCCATGCAAACAAGTTCGTAAATACAGATGAATCGAAGTTCTTACACAACATCGAAGCACGCGGTATTTTAAACTGATGTTTTCGTCGCTTAAAATGACATTTTTCAGTTTCACACAAGACTGAGTGTAAAAATGTTTGTTTGCTTGAAATTGAAAGACACTTGAGGAAGCATTGCGAAGTAAACGAATTAATTTTACAAGTGGGATCTTGAAACGGTCCGAGCCTAGGAATTGTTCTGCAAGTCGCCGACACAATACTCCCATAAGGTTACGTTCGAAGAAATATTTGTTGAATACAGCAGGTGAAGTTCTGAATAATTCTCAGTAAATAGCATCTCTAGCAGTTCTTATAGCCTTTCTCAATATTGAGACAACATACCTGTGAAATATCTGAAACCAGAGTTTTAACTCAAGTGACCATCGAAAATTCATTGACTGCTCCCATTTCAAAGTTTCCGGTAGTGTTTTAAAAAGCGTTTTAAATTTTGAATGATTTTAAAACGTGTTGTGAATAATAGACCAAAATAATGAATTACATCACCTCTTTAAAAAGAGAATTTGACTTTCAAATGAGTAGTGCCTCATTAGTGATTATGTGGTCATGTCTGGCTTACAGATGACAAGTTTTCATTTTTGTATAAATAATAAATTGAATATATTTTGATTTGAATAGAGAGAAATCGATCGAGATGACCCATTTATGTAGATGCGAGTGACTTCTTTTTTAAAACTAGTTAAAGAGCTAAACGCATCACTTTGGAGAACAAAACTATTGTAAATAAAAATAGCGAAAATGGCTTGCCCTCGTGGCCGTCCTTCGCGTCAGGGTGTGGGGGTTACATGCATGCAGGTTGCTACGTGACAAGAAGAAATTAAACAAGACATAGGGCTTTAAAATCTGGGTGATATTTCAATTTCTCAGACACTTTCAAACGTTTGCAGATATGTATGTACATATTTTTTTGCAACTCATTTCCCAGCCGGCTACCAGAAAGTTTTGCTTCGCACGCTTGGGAAGCCTTGAACTCTTGTTGGTATAAGCCATATTTGGTAAGTGACGTACGATTGGTTATTTTGCTGGTGTGGTAGGAGCGGCGGCCATCTTGTGGAGAGAGCGGTGTTTCCGGCTGGTTCTAGGGGTTTATTTGCCGCTTCGAAAGTTGTTACCTCTTTTATATATAATAAGTGTTTAAGGCTTTTGATACACTTAACATTTACAATGGTAAGTCGTATTTTAAATGCGCTTCTTGTTGGAAGAAAAGAGCAGTTCTGTTGCAGTCGAAACTGTCTTCTGTGTTCGTTCTGTTGTAAAAATCTGGAAAGATCCCCGCCTCATCTCGTATCCGTTATTTGGGATAGCAAGCTTGGGAAATCATTCATTCTTCTGGACAATTAAGCAAACGAATCAGGAGTTTCTGTTGTAAGACTGCTTTCAGGAGGAAAATACTTCACTTGATGCATTACTATAAAGTTCTTATCATTGACTGATCGAAACATGTCGTCCAAACGTATATACAACCATTTTTCCTGTTTTTGGTTGCTACAGACGGAAAGACAACTAGACTGTGCGTTAGATTTAATGCGACGGCTGCCTCCTCAACAAATAGAGAAGAACCTTAGTGATCTAATTGATTTGGTAAGTTCGATGTTGTTGGGACATTATTTTGTGGAGGAAATAGTAGTTTGTTTGTTCAGGCGTACTTAGTTATGGAATTTATCAAAGACTAATATATTTATAAGTCATGATACAACGCTGTCGTATTGATTGCAAGGTACAAATCATTTTGTGACTAGTTTTCCATTCCGTAAAAAATAAATTTGTTGCATTGGCAAGGCACATAGATAGGAAATTTTCTGGCACAGCTGAGAACCTGGCTTTATGCCATACTTTTCGAGTGTATTTGAATGCCCTCTGTCTTATCTTTCCCATTTACATGCACAATAGTTTTTGGTGTTCAGTGACCTTTGACTTCTCAAATTACTTTTAGCCTTCCTTCCTTCCTGTCTTCCTGTTCCCTATACTCTACTTTTCACTGTAGATTAACACCCCCTTGGGTGACCGAGTTCACACTGGTCCTGATTGTTTACAGAGTAGCAATGATAAGAATACAAGTCAATTTAATGTTAAATACAAATCCAGCAGTGTCACTGTTTCTATCACCCCTAAACAAGTTCCTATTGTGAAAACTCATGATCTCAAGACCCAATATGTGTTGGCGATGATGGTATAGTGCACTTTCTTGTGAGATTTGAAGAGCTTCATGTACAGCTAAACACTCGGTTGGAGACATCTTGTCATTACAGACACATTTGCTTTACAGACACCTTCTCATGACAGACATGTTGCCATTGCAGACACCTTTTCATTACGGACACCTTGTCATTATGGACACTTTGTTATTACGGACACCCTCTTATTAGGGACACCCTGTCATTAGGGACAGTGGCTTTTCTCTTAATTAGTCCACTCAATAATGGCACCTTGTTTATACAGATACTTTCTGTTGTCTTATAATGTCTGTTAAAGCATTGCTAGAATTTGAATGTTGTTCAGACCATCCCACATGTAACACTTACTGCAATTTATGTTGGAAAGACATCAGACTATATTAGAGCCTGGAGATCACCTTTATGCAGCTCCTATATTCTATTTGTTATGGTAATGATATTTTCCTCACTGCATAAACATTTATGGTAACTGTGTTCTGTGATGTTTTCAGGTTCCTAGTCTTTGTGAAGACTTGTTATCATCTGTTGATCAACCACTTAAGATTGCTAGGGATAAAACCACAGGCAAAGATTATCTTCTTTGTGATTACAATAGGGATGGCGATTCCTACAGGTATTAACACGCTAATATATGGCCTAGGAATCTATGCATAGTGCAGTGAGCTTCTATATTAGTAGAGCCATTGTCTTTCAACTCAAATGAAATGTTATTAACTACTAAAAGTGACAACTCCTCTGAAAGTAGCAAGCTCAAAGAGGTTCTTGGTTACAACTTGGGCAACATGCTAACGACATTCGTTTTGGTAAACATCATTTTTTTTCTCATCTACATTGTTGTCTTTTTTCTTTTATATATTGAGGACATTTTTAGACTGATCAGCCTGCCGTTCACTTGTAGCTACACAAAAGCAGTGATCCCCAGAAAGTTGTGAAAAGTTGCATTTACTAAAAGTAATTGAAGGGGTGCTGCTTTTGGAACTTTACAGTATGTACTAGGAAAGAAAAAACCCAGGTCCGATTGCCCAGGGCAAGTAAATTTTGCCCTTGAGCAAGTGAAAATGGAAGCTTGGTGGTCCAGTTGGCAAGTGAAATTAGCCTCAGTAGTCTTGTTAGTTGATAAGGAATGAACATTGCACACTTATTGGGCAAGTAATATTTTAGCGTGGGCAACTGAAAATTGAATTGTACTGGCCCACTGGACAACTGGATTTCAAAATGTTTTTCCTGTCCTGATGTAATCTGTTATTTATGCATTTTAGTGGAAATCAAAATCCTACAGGTCATCTTAACTCCCTTCCACAGTTTGAGGATGCTTATTTCTTCTGTGAAATCTAATAGCAATGTTTTCCCATTCTCATGTCCATTTAGATCACCATGGAGTAATTCTTATGACCCTCCTTTGGATGATGGTGCAGTGCCCTCTGATAGGTTAAGGAAACTTGAGATGGAGGCTAACTCCGCCTTTGATCAGTACAGAGAAATGTAAGTCCTTTAAGTAGCTCAATAGGGTGAATTGAAATTTGCTAAGTTCAAATGGAAATTTCCATAAATTGTGTTACTAACAAATGTGATATGTGTCTGTTTAAAGGTATTATGAGGGTGGAGTGTCATCAGTTTACCTCTGGGATTTAGATCATGGATTTGCTGGTGTTATTTTGATCAAGAAAGGTTTGAAGTGCATTTTAACTTGGACTGTATTTTGGTCTCGTAGGAAATTATACTAGGGTTTGCACTGTACTTTTGGTGAGCCCATATGATGATTCAAAATAAAATGGACATTATTTTGAGTAAGTAAAATGCGTCTTCCTATTCCATAATTTCAGCTGGGGATGGTTCTACAAAGATCAGAGGTTGCTGGGATTCCATTCATGTTGTGGAGGTTCAGGTAATAATAATAACAATAATCATGATGATGACTTTATTGGATTACACAGGTGTTTTGGCTTTTAGTTTAGATGAACAGGGATTACTTCATTTCAAAGGCGTCATGTGGGTATATCGTAAAACTGGATTGTATTATACTGTTTCAGGAGAAGAGCAGTGGCCGACAAGCTCATTATAAGCTCACATCAACTGCCATGCTTTGGCTTCAGGTATAACAGAACTAACTCTTAGTAGAAGTTTGTTTGTCCCAGGAATTGCCATTAATTTTATACCTGGTACTTTGGAGGTGCATTTTCAGTCCTTACCCATCAAAGCTGCATGTACATTGTCTCTTTTCATCAGTACCGAGGCATTGATTTCTAATGTAAAGACAGAAAAAAAGTGTTCACCTTATTAGAATGCCTAAATTTTTGCTTCATTTGTGTTTATAGACAAACAGGGCTGGATCAGGTATAATGAATTTAGGAGGAAGCTTGACAAGACAGGTATGTGATATGTTTAAGCAATGTGCAAAATTAATAACCTTTTCAAGATATCATTTTTATCAAATAAGATGGAAATTGGTTTTGTTACATTGTAATAGCAGCCTGTGCCTTGAAGATGCAAAATTTCTCACTTGCTGCACACTTCCAAGGTGGTATTAACAATGGACACAACATTCTTGAAGGAAAAGAGAGGAAGAGACCAAATATTTGAGAGACTAATCAACCAATAGGGTTGTCATTTGCACTTGGTGTAAAAAAATATTTACTACATGCACATGGTTTAATGATGCAATTCTACTGTCCCTTAGGCTTGTTACGAGTATATTCCAGAAAAAAAATCAATTAGCTGCGCTAGCTTTCTGAAATAAAAGATAGTTAAATGTGACGTGGAGTATTTGGGGTTTCAGGTTGAGCAGGACAGTTCAGTGAATGATGCTAGTCCACATATTGCCAACATTGGTAGAATGGTGGAGGTAAGTACTGTTGCATTGATAACTTTGTCTTGTTACTGCTTAATTTTCTATCAAATTGTTATTTACACACATTTTTTCTTGGTGTTTGCCTTTTCTGAAGGACATGGAAAACAAGATGAGGAATACTCTGAATGATATATACTTTGGCAAAACAAAGGATATAGTTAATGCCTTGCGGTAAGTAGTACATATTTTCTTTAGCAATCTGCGATCACGGGATCTCTATCACAGCAATTTTGTGGCATTTTGGTTGAAGCAGTGCCCAAAGTAGGGTTATGGACCATCCCTCTGGCGTATACAGGAAATATTGACACCTCTCTTGGACAAAATTAATGGCAAATTGGCCATCACAATCCTTAAGTAGCCATCCAAAATGATTATACGGCCAGCTCAAGCCAAGGCTTTATGAAATTTGTGGAAAAAAATTCTGGAAGCCTGGATACCCATCTGGCTAAAAGCTTGGTCCCAGGGTTGCCCGGCTTCCTGCTGGAGGAAAATACTACCACAGAAATTATGATTAAAGAACCAAGGGAGTAATCTCCTGATTTGATGGAACTGTAACAAAACAATTAGCTCAAGATTAAATATTTTTTTTTACCTTGTAGGAGTGTGAATAGCCTTGCTGACCAAGGAAAACAGAAACAATTGCAACAAGAACTCTTTGGTGTTCTCAAGAACCGCCAAAAGTAGTTTTATACACTTAGCAACTTTCTCTTTGATAAATCACTGCAATGATCTTCAATTTGTGATGTGAAAATTAATTAGTTACAGGGGATTTCTAAAATCCTCAGAACTTTTGTATAATTTTCTGGTATCACTATCAATATTTTTCACAAATTGAAAAAAGAGCCCGGTGAAAATTACCCTTCAAGTACCATTTCCCCTAGTGTATTTTGTGAAAGCCATGATCTTGCAGATTATCAATGTTTTTAGAAACTTAGGTCTTGGCTCCCTTATAAAATGAGCTCTGTTTGATTGCCTATGTAGGCAGAAGGATTACATTAGCCTTGACTTAACTGCCAGGACTTAAGACCCATTTACACGACAGAAAAATTTTGGCACAGTGCCAGTATAATAACTGGTGGTAGGAATGCCCAGAAGTGGCCTGGCACAGATAAATTCATCTTTGCCAAACTTGTCAAAATTTCTTCTGTGCTCGGACTACTTATTCCATTCCATGGGTCTGTGCATGGGTTAAATTTGGGCTTAGCATGGATGAGAAAAAAACTCATTTACACAATGGAGTTTGTCTGTGCCAAACCCTTTTAATTGGTATGTGTACCATTTAAATCTAGATCTCGCCAAACATTTTCTGTCATGTAAATGGGCATTAACATGCCAAATAAGTATATCAAGAATTGCTGGTCCTCATAAGAATATTATTGTAAACTACCCATGCATCTTACTGGCATAGGGGTACATTTTGTGAGTAAAAATTACTTTGCCTCAGTGGTATGCTGTGAATGCCGTTAATTTTAATCTTGCATTCAATGGTTGCTAGTGTGAAATGTGTTGGAAATGCAACAGATTATGGCTGATATAGCTGTCAGTTAACTTGAACAGTTATTTCAAGATTAATCCTTAGAGACATGAAACAACTTGGGAACTGAAGAGTTTCATAGTTACACAGCCTTTAGGTTATCTGTTTATTGACTTGTTAATAAATTACATAATTGTTTGTGTGGTTGCTAGTAATAATATTGCTAATAGAAATTTTAATGAAAAGATTCATTGCCTTCAAAGTTGTTGCATGATCACATACTCTAGTTTTGTAGAATTGATGCCTTTCATTTGCAACTACATGTATAAAAAAACATGTACTTAATAAAATGGTTTTGTAATTTTAATATACACAGTGCATTTAGTTATGAAAATGTTCTTCCCTTACTGATGTTATGTCCATCTTGGCTCCAGGTTATCAAAACAGAACATTAAAGAGTTCCTAAAAAATAAATGTGTGTATCATAACTGCTGTTTCACACAGTTTAAAACCCCTTAGCATTTTGAGTCTAATATTTAGTAATTCCTATTTCCCTGCCAAGGTTTGATTTGTTCACATGAGAAAACAGGCTGACTCAGTAGCCAAGAACTGTGAAGATAAGATGAAAATTTTGGAAGCTAAGATTATATTATCCTTCTATAGTCCAGCTACTGATGAGAAATTCTAATTTTAAGTACTTTTGTGAACCACAATCTGATCACATTTGTAATTAAAACATATACCACAGTGACCATACTATTAACCTTTCCCCATATTACTAACCCTTTTGTAACTCAGTGTAACACAGTGTAAGATCAAAGACTGCTCATAGCACAATGTCCAATCACTCAATGCATCAATCTGGAATAATCTACTTGACTTAAAAACAAGTCTTAGTTGAGCTTTCAGAAGTAAAAAGCCCTTGAAGTGTTTCCTTATTGCAGGTTTTGTGCAACAAAATGGCTTGATATTGGTGTCTGCATCCGCTTAACAGAGGTCTTCACTAAATGCAGGGTTATTTTACAGTAAATGTGGGAAAAACATTTTGGGAAAATTATGGGGTCTGCTTTTTTTTCCCCTGTAGTCTTTTTCCTTAAATTTATTGACCATTGAACTCTACATTCCATGGAGATTTACAGGTTGTTCAGGACTTAAGAAAAGACCAAAAAATATCTGTGGTCTACAAATCCTTGCTTTTCTTCTCAGTCTTTGTAGAGAACCCTGTTCACTTGGCTGAGTGGAATATCATACAATGGTGGAACTGATCCAGGAGGAACTGGGTTCAATTTGCCATCCATATATCGAGCATGATTATCTGTAAAAACAAAGAACATCAATTTCATTGCTTGATTCACCCAACAAATTTCATCTCATCATGCAAGCAATTTATTGTAATAATTATGTTATTCTAAATTTCTGTTTGAAGAAGTGATGTAGTCTAACAAGGAGCTCAACAAAANGTAGTCCATTAGGGTAGTCCATGGACTAGGGGTCAGTGTTTTGTCCATCGCCCATTCTGGCTGTAAAAGCTTGGGACTTGCCCCAAGAGTGAGGACTTTTGGCTACATAATGAAAGCAAACCAGGACAACATCACACACCACATGTTTTGAATTTTAGTATTGTATCACATTCAGATGCACATGTTCAAAAAAGAAATGAGCACCGACAGGAGGGCCCCAGCCCCTCTCCTAAATATAAATTATATAAATATACAAGATCTTGTTCAATGAGAGGCAAAGAAATCTCCCTGTATTCTACAGTGAATAGTCTCGGAACAAACCTTTGAGAAAATTTTCTTAGATGTTAAGAAGTTGAGTCTATTTCCCAGATAAGAACGGGCACGAAATAAAGATTGTTGTTGTTGTTGTTGTTGGTGGTGGTGGTGTGGTGGGGGGAGGGGAGGTCTATTTGTGTCACCATATAAAAAATGAGTTACCTTTGGGGAAGATAGGTTATTCCAACACTATGAAGCCACTCTTCTGGAACACAAGCCCAGATGAAATACAGGCCTGATAATTGAAATAATTAAATTAATGGAAAGGAAAGTAAAACAAAATTTCGAACACAGGCTTAAGTTAAGTTAGCTTAAGTTATAAAACAATTTCCTCTGAGACAAAAGAGAAAAAAACTAGTCAATCACTACTCACCAATTCCAAAATAGGTGCCTAAATATAGTACAAATCCATAAATTGCCCGTTCTGGAGTGGGTGAAGGGGAATTTCCTGACATGTTTTAAAATTTAACCTCGGTCGGCCGCCATTTTGCATTTCTTTGACCTGGTGAACATTTCGTGTAGGCATATACACCACATTTTCAAGCCGCTGGCAGGAACTTTGTTTGACAAGTGAAAAATGGAGGGAAACATCACTGGTTCTCCAACTTCACCAAACGAAGAAGGTAGAAATAGCTTTCTGTTTGTCAAATTCATCTTTGAATTAGGTACTACATCAAGTATTGATTCTTTTTCTTATGGCAGAATCTGGTCAAGCTCGAATACTGAACGTGGAACCCGATGCAGAGGTATGTTTTTCTTGTATGAACACTTCAAATAAGCAAGCTAGGTTTAGATGGATAATTTTGCCAGCGATCTTATTTTCGCTTTAGGTTTTTTTTTATCATCGAAGCAATTGA